CAGGCATGGTGCCGGCCGGCCGGGCTGCTGCCCACAGTAACAGACTAGCACCCCCCATTGCTGAGCACTTGCCCGCCAGGCACACTGCTCATGTTGCCACCACAAGCCTATATGACAGCATCTGTGACTGCCAGGCGGCCACACTGGGGCTCGGGTGGACTAGGGAAGGGCCCAAGGTCACTCAGCTGGTGCAGGAGGGGCTGGCTCCAGACTCTGCTTGGGGCTGTAGACCCAGGCTCAGGGAGCTGACGCCCTGACAAGCAGGTGTCCCCGTGCCCCTCACTGGACATTCCCCCAACTCTCCTGTGACTCCTTTGGCCCCTCCCCTCCCCGCCCCCAGGCCCCCACCCTCTGGCCTCCAGCCCCAGCCCCCACTGTCATGGAGTCCACATTCTAGTGTGGCCTGAAGGCCCAGCCCCAGAGCAGAGCACAGGCCCTCTGCAGGCCCCACCTCCCTCCTATGTGAACAGAGGGGCCACACCCTACATCCACCCAGGGTGAGGAGTGCAGGGGGCCCAATCTCACACAGTCAAGTCCAAATCATAGTGACCCTATAGGACAGGGCAAAACTGCCCTGTGGTTTTCTGAAACAGTAACTCTTTACAGGAGTAGAAAGCCCCATCTTGCTCCCTCAGAGCAGTTAGCAACCTGTACTGTAACCCCTGTGCCACTAAGGCTCCTCCTGGAGGGTGTGGGGCCAGAAGGGAGCTCCAGGTAGCTCAGTGAAGATGGAGACCAGGGCCAGCCCCAGAGAGGGCAAGCAGCCTGCCCAGGTGACACAGCCCAAAAGCAAGGATGAGAACCCAGGTCTCCCAGCAGCTGGGGCCCCTCTCTCCAGCCCAGCTCATGGGGCCAGGGCCCAGGGGCCTGGGGCAAGGATTTGGCTCTGGTCCTGAGAGGTGTGAGAAGTGGGAGTGGAGGCCTGCTTCTCTCCTTTCTCTCTCCTGGGAGAGGAGCCCACACACAAACACACACACACCCGTCCCCATGGTCTGCTCAGTCTCCCCACTCACTCGTACACTGGGAGGGAGGCGTCCTTGCATTGCTGTGGCCACCCAACCAGAGGCTGAGAAGACTCTCAGGACCCAAGACTGGACAGCGATGGACCAGGATGTGGTTGGGTGGGGAGCGTTGGGATAGCCGAAGGCCCAGCATAGGGGGTCTGCTCTCCCAGGACACAGGGTCCTCCCTGTGGGTCTGCCGATGGCAGTTTAGACTCTCCTGGCTCTCCCGCCTCCCTCCTTTCTGAAAGGGAAACCAGGCCCAGTTCCGGGGTCAGAAGTGCCCAGCTACCACCTTGAATCCCTGCCCTGGGAATTCAGCCAGACCCAGGCTCCCATCTGCACCCCACCCTGGCCAGGCCTGCCTCTCTCGGGCCCAAGAGTAAGCCTTTCTGGTGCTGTGGCCCAGAATCCAGAAGGTCATGAGGCCTCAGGGGCTGGCTTCCCACACGGGCAGCCCGGGCCACAGGTCAGAGCCAGCACCAGGGCAGGGGGCTGGGAGACAGCTCTGGGCCCGCTTGACCTCTAGCCGCCTAAGGGGGGCACTGGGGAGGCCTAGGGGTCCTCGTGTCAGCCTTGCCTGTGCCCAAGGACCCCTTTGGGGTCCAGCTCTTTCACCCTCACTTCCTTCCTGTCCTCATTCCTTCTGTCAGTCTCTCCAGCCCTCCCTCCCACTCCTCCTGGGAGCCCCCTCCGGAGGCCTAGCCCCTAGCTGTGTGTCTCCACCAGAAGGGTGGCAGGAGAGGAAAGTGCCCCCACCCAGAGCACTGGCAGGGTGCCCACCTAGATGCTCCCGTCAGTGTAGGGCTGCTGGGGTTAGGGTGGGGCTGCCTCTGGAGCCTCTTGGGGCTTCTGTGGGGAGCAGAGAGAGCTGAGGAGCCACACCCTATCACTACCACACCAGGCTTCCTCTTGTCTTGCTTGCCTCCTCCAAGAAGCTTCCTGAGTA